CAGTGACGTTCATGTATTTCTTTGGGAAACTGCCTGATAGGCAGTATCTATCCCAGTGCTGCAGACCTGCTGCTGTTCTGCGGGGGTTTAAGTGTTATTTGCCACAGTACAGGCTAAATTTTTTTTTAATTCCCTGAATTTTCCTGTCCAAGTGAGTGATCTGCACCTTACTGAAGCAAACTGAACTAGCTCATGCTCCCTCGTTCCCAGTTAGTTCCCCTCTTGCCTATAAGGACTGGATCTCGGAAGTCCCTGAGTCAGAAACATGAACTACTTCTTGAAAACAGTGATTGTTTTCTAATCTAGTATATGCAGTTATTTGTGCTTAATTAAGATCTGTTTTTAGATCCGGAAAGTGGCTGCCGTAGAGGTTTCTAGAAGGAATTCCCCTCTTGAAAGACACGCAGAGTATTGCACATGGGCAAAGAATTCATTAGGACACAGGCTCCTTCTCATGTGTAAATATTGGCTTGCACTGGAATTAGCACTCTAGCTTCAAAGAAACGAGTTTGATTATTATAATATGGTAATTTCTAGCTACTGGTTGCTGTCTCTTCTTGACTGAAGTCAGCATTGATCTGGTAGGATGCCTACTGTGAGTATAGAAAAACACCATATGAGTCTCTTAGACCCTTATTCTAGGTTTCTCAATTATACCACTCAATGACACAAAGCCACAGTTACCTGGCTGTGTCTCAAACGCATTAAAACCCATGTAACCAGCCCCACAACAAAACCTCAAATACTTGGCTCTGATGGATGGTGTTATAATGAGGGTGGAGCTCAATTCAATAGCCAATTTAATGCATCTTAATGTTCTAACATGCTTTCGTTTCATATCTAGGACAATAAACGCTGCAGTAAAGTTTTATTTAAAGCAGGTCTGTTTTACAAAATGAGTCTTGCATATGGAACAAAACGCTCATTGTCGCTTTACTGTTTAAACCTTTATTATTGCTTTTTTTTCCTGGTACAATGGGCTTTTATGCACCAAACAGCTGTGTTCATCATGTTTATTTAGAAGGCGTCCATTGTAGTGGAAAAAGTCTGGAGGACAAAAATCTTGGTGAAGTGCAAGACTACTCTGTGGGTGCTGGCACTTTTATTTTTTTCTGTCCAGTGCCTTTGGTCAGCATGCAAGTCACATACACAGGCACTGCCATGCAGACTTGCAAACCCTGTATAATAGCAACTTTTCACAAGTGCTGTCTCTTATTCCAAGCGTTCTCCTCCAGAAATTTTCAATTGCAAGGCAACATACAGGACGCGCAACTATTTTACACCCTATGATGCTATCATTTCTCAATCTGTTGCTATTTTGGCCCCTCGTTAGGTCACTTTCCAAATATTGTCTACAGCTATGTGTCAATCATTGTCACAGCTCGGCTCCAGGCTAAGCCAACCCAGGACAAAACTGGGAGGAAAAAAAAAATGCCAACCAAAGCAAGCACTGTGTAGAAAACAGTCAACAGTTTCACTGTGGAAAGCTATGTGTTGTTCCAAAGATAGCATAAGCCCACTTGATGCGAAAGCAGCATACAGTACTAATGCTCCCCAAAATAATTTTACACTGTTGAAATACGTAGTGTACACCCAATGGCATCTGCAAATAAACAGATGTTAGAATCTCAAGAATTAAGAGCATGACACTGCAGGAAACTCTTGGGTCACTCCTGCCAAAAAAGCAGTCTAGTTTCCAGTTTCTGGAAAGAACAGAGCATCTATCGTATTGACCGAACTTTTTTTGAGCAACGGTATCTCTAACACCTTCTAAAATCTTGAATGAAAGCTGCTGTATAAGCAGGCAGCGTTAGCCTGGGGAACTAAAGGGTTCCCTACTTTCTTCGGGGTATATCCAGCAGGGCAAATGCATTCCCATGCCATATGAGAAGGCTGTGCCCTTTTCCCCCTTTTCGGGTTACCCTGTATTAACACGTAGTTCAGTAAGGATTGGAAACACAGAAGTGTCTCCATCAGCCACATAGTCAAAGCTATTGTGGTCACAGGCTGGAAAATGAACTGGAACAAATTAACACGCTTGATCTTTTAAAAATATGAAAATATCTGTATAGAATGAAATGGCTCCTTATCTCCTGAATGATGAATGCTCTAGGCTTTCTACAGAGCTGGCATTCTCAGTTGTTGTCATTCATGCGCCTCAGGAAACTGTAATGAGGTTAAACAGAGCAGAATAAAGTTGCATCCATACAGCTCACGGATGATAGGAACCCACGCAGAAATGCAGCTAAGGTGACTGCTGGGATCCAGAAGCAGCGTGGCCAGGGGGGAGGCTGCGAAGGGGCTGACCGCTTAGAGCTGAGGCTGAAGTAGGGGCCTGGGGAAGGCCTGGCATACCGGGGAAATGATTTTCCAGAAGAAAGGAGAAAACTTTGGGGAAAAAACTGGAAAGAAATGTAAGCCAAGTGGAAAGGGAGAGAGTGTGACAAAAGGATTAGCCCCTACTTGCAAACAGTATAGCAGAAGCAGAAAATGAACTCGGGGGGGGGGGGAACTTTAAGGAAAATAAAACTGTTTCTCAGGGACTGTTTCAAAGGCTTCCTGAATGCAGCCTCCATTTACTTGTTTCTTCCTTTTTCTCCCAAGAAGAAAAAGGACCCGCTGTGAGCAGAATGTATCCCGACTTGAACAAACACAGACCCAAATGGGAGTCCCAATCTGGAGACAGTCCATGTAGGCCAAACTCCTGCAGTCTTGTTGCTACCTGGGCACCACAAATCTTGTAAGCCAAGCAGAACAGGGCAAAATCTACAATTTGTAATCAACAGGTAGGCAGCTGGAAGCTTAAATTACACTGCCTGTTAGTCTTTTTGCAAAAATCAATGAGCTTGTTAAGTCGGCCTGTCTTTAATCTGGGTATGTTATGTTGTGCTTAAGAAGGCTGGGTACATCAGACTGAATGGATTTTGAACTATATACTTTCAAAAATAGTGTTTGTTTTAAGACTGGATGTGCCTTGTGAAATTCTTAAGGAAGAAAGAATTTCTAATTAAGGAATAAAGAATCCGTATATATAACTCCGTCTTTTAACTGTCAACAGCTATAACACCAGAACAGTTGGGGAATTTGATTTGTTTTTAATTAACAGCCCCATACCTTTGCTGGCAGAACAGAAACGTGTATTTTGACTGAGAATATTTTTTTCAACCTATGCTTTAACTTAAATGGCATTGGGGGGACCCCGAAATGTCATTCCGTGGGAAGTGCCAGAGCGGGTCAGATGCATAGTCTGCCTGACCCTCACCAAACGGAGCCACCGTTGAACGTCTGTGGCAAAGAGCTCCACGGTAAGGGTGTAACGACATTGCTGGATCTCTTCTGGAGAGGCTGTGAGCTGTGGTGTGCGAGGTGGCACCTCGCAGTATCTCCACGCATGTGAAGTCCCTCCAGTGCCCAAGTGCTTGACCTCAACAACTTCCTGTGACAGGGAGTTCCACAGTGAATTGTCTTTGCGTACCCTGGTTTTTTAGCTTCCTTCCCTTTGGTTTCACTTAGTCTTGCTCTTGTGTTACAAAAGGCGTGCAAACTTTTTCACTCTGTTTTTTGTCACGTGTATCTCCTCCTTTTTAAATAATGCCAGCCTCTGATCTCAAGCTATATATAGTCTGTATATCAACCTCTTCAAATATCACTTTAAAAAAAAGGGGGTGGGTGGGATTTTTGCATGTTATTACGGTCGTAGCACTTCTTGTGTCCGT